AAAAAAAAAAACAAAATGGTAATTCAAAAAGGTTTAGTTTGAACAATTTTCACGTACTCATGTACACACAATCAACAGGAAAAATCCAAAACTCGTCCGGGTGACATTTTTTGTCCCAACAGAATTCACAAAATATTAATAGGTCGTAGTTTTTAAAAAATAATCAAAAGTATGACTTTTTTCAATTTTCCGGACTAGAATGCCACGTCGCACACAAGTGACCACATTCATCTGACGTGGCTGAGTACAATGTCAAGGAAAAAAATCAAAACTAGTCTCACAGGGTTTAAGAGGTGACATTTTTTGTCCCAACGGAATTCAAAAAATACTAAATAGTCCCGCCACGTGTGTGCGACGTAGCTTTTCGAGCCAAAAATTTAAAAAAAATCCTACTTTGATCATTTTTTAAAAGTTGCGAAACTATTAATATTTTCTACACTGGGACTAAAAATGTCACTCTTATACATGTAGTAGGACAAGTTTTAAAATTTTGCTCACAATCAACATATCAACCCATAAATATTTTATTTTAGACTTTCAAGCACGCAACAATTTATTCATACAATAACGCAAGAAAAGAGAAATCCAATCCCAAGCACCCAATTGCTAATATCCCCAAAACCCACCCACAGTAGAATTTAATACGGCTTTCGCCGCCGTCAATCCCGAGTCACGGTCGCCACGAAGCGGTTCAGGTCAGACACCGACGACCCGCCCTCCCCGACGGCCGCCTCGGCCGCCCTCCTCATCTCCCCAACCCGTTCCCTCACCGCCTTTGTGTCCATCAGCTCCTTGACCCGCTTCTCCAGCTCTGCCGCTGCCACGAACCCGTTGTCCCAGCCCTCCAATGGCAGCCCCACCCCCATCTCCTCCACCATGAACACCTTGTTCATCCTCTGCTCCGCGTCAATCGGCCATGTGATCATCGGCACCCCGCGGATCAAGGCCTCGAGCATAGAGCTCGAGCCGCAATGGGTCACGAATCCGGCCACCGCTTTGTGGTCCAGCACCTCCGTCTGTGGGGCCCACGACTTTATCACGAAACCCCTGCCCTTGGTTCTCTCAAGAAACCCGTCCGGCAGCAGCGCTTCCAGGTCCGGCACCTCCGATACACCGACCGGGCTCCTGACCGACCAGAGGAACCGGTGGCCGCTGTTCTCCAGACCCACCGCCATCTCCTTCAGCTGCTCCGCCGAGAACAGCCCCCTGCGCCCGAAACAAAGGAAGACCACGCTCTGGCACGGCTGCGCGTCGAGCCACTGCAGGCACTCGTGGCGATCGCTGCCGGAGCCTCCGCCTCCGGCAGCCGCTTTCACGACGAGCGGCCCGACCAAGTATGCCGGTGGAGTCGGGCCACCACCGGGGACGCACGCACCGGAGACGAGCGCCTCCTTGGCTCGCGACTCGAGCGCGTCGAACGAATTCACCACTATCCCGGCCGACCGCCGCATGTTGTTGGCTGTGGAGAGGAAGTGCTGGTATGTGGGGGACCGCCGGAAAAGCATGTCTGGGGGAAAATACGATGAGTAGATCGGGGGGCAGCCGGGGACCTCAACAAAGTCGTTGAGGCTCCCCAGGTCCTGCTGGCCGATCTTCTCGTCGATCGTCGGGAAGTGAAAAAGAACGCAGAGGAAAAACGCGCCGCTGCTGACGTAGAAGTAGGTGGGAATGCCGAGGTCGGTGGAGACATCGAATGCCGCGTTGCAGAAAAAGTCGATTACGATGGCCCTGATCCTCGATTTCTCTGAGATCTGGAGGAGGGCCTGCCGTAGATTGGGATTGTTGAGGCGGGGGATCTCGAACAGGAGCTCAACGGGGTTTTTGTTGAGGTTGTGAGGAGCGACGGCGGGGGGAAGGCGGTGGTAGGTGACAGAGGGGAGAGAGGAGATGACGGTGGTGGCGGATTCGAGGGCGGGGGTGGAGCTGAGGATGGTAACGGGGAGGGTGGGGTGGTGTTTGTTGAAGAACTTGCAGAGGATGAGCATGGAGTTGAGGTGCGCCAGCGAGCTGTACAGGACGATAGTGTCCTCCATTTTTCCGTTTGTTTTTGTAAAGTGAGGAAATGTGTGGAATTGTGCCGTGTGGCTGTCCACCGATGGGTGCGAGAATAGATATATATGATTTTTTTTTTTAATTTAAAAAAGTGTAAATAAATCATTTGATCCTCATTTGTACGCATTAAAAGACAAAATTTCCAAGTTTTTTTGTTTTTTTTTTTCAATTAAGTAGTTTTTAAAGTTTTTGTTTTATGTGTTAAATTTTGATCCCTCACACCACTTTATTTTACATTAAAAACGTATTCTGAGAATATATTTTTCAATTAATTTAATTGAAAAACGTATTCTCATAATACGTTTTTCATGTAAAATAAAGTAGCGGGCACTGCCCACCGTGGTGAGCGAGACTATCTATGTGTTTAGATAATTTTTATTACTCTGAGGGTTTTTATACTATTACTTAATCCTTACAATGTATCGACTATATATATTTTGGGAAATATTATAAATTCAAGGTTAATAAGTTATAATACGTATTTGTTAAGTACTCATGCAATGTTAAACATAAAGAAATCATATGTTATTGGACAAGCCTTAAAGGAAAAGATTTTTTATACTGATTAAGTAAATAATTTAGATTTTAGTAATTATTACTGTATTTTTTTAACCCGTAAGACAATATAAACAGACACATGTATTCGATACTTACTTATTTGATTTACTAATGGTTAAAGTTATTCCGATAGTCGACAGGCTCCGTGTTTTGGTAAGGAATGACTGAGTACATGATGCACTGTAGAAATTATTTACAGTAATTGTGTGTCGGTCCGACTTCTTGATGATGTCCCCGAAAGAAGGTAAGGAATGATTATTATGTTAAGCCTTGTAGGTGAATTAGTTCCCACAAAATTAAAGAATTGAGATGTAATGTTTCGGATAGCGAAGTTGATTAATTTTATTGTCAGTAATTAAAATAATTAATAGATGTTAGATCTTAAATATGGGGAGATAATTCGAGCAAATTAACCGAAAGATGAATTATTTGTAATTCAAGGCCTAAATGGGAAATTCGATAATATTATTATAGTGACGTTTAATATTATGGGAAAAATTTATCCATACACAAGGATTTACACTTTTTTGCAACATTACGAATAAGAGTAATTTAATTTCAATCATACCAAATGCAGTCAAATAATTTGTGATAATACTATATTTCAGTTACCTCAACATTTGTCCTTAAATCACGACATTTATAAAGCAACCATTTTTTGTTAAAAAAAAAAATTACCAATAATGTTAAGTGTATATCCTTATATATAGGATATTCTTCAATTCAAATTTAAACAATTTGAACTTTGAAATTAAAAGTTTTCTTCTGACCCAACACATGTTTGTTTGCCTCGTTCTTGCTGATATAATCCCAGAAACTATCTTAAATATACCTGGTACTGTTTTATTTTCGACAGTAATCGCGTGGTTTCTGTATATTTGTAGTATATTTTCTGGGTTAATTGGGTCTTTCTTTTTGTCAGTAATTGCGTGGTATTAGTATATTTGTAGTATATTTTCTGGGTTATTGAGTCTGTTGTTTATA